AAACGTTTTACCAGTTATATTAAAAGGGCTTTATTCTGCTTTAAGGAATATTGCTTCTACATAAAAAAGCAAATCATTAAGAATGGACAACAGACATCGCTTCTCTTACATATACTCTGTAGGACAAATTTCTCTGTGGGTAGCATCCTGTTGAGACTTTCAGTGTTGTGCAGCAGAGGATTTTCTTTGTGCTTTTGCAGCTGTGTACAATATTTTAATAGGCTTCGTTTTTAGTAGTCAGTTGTGAAACAGCCTGAGCAGAATGGAACTAGCTCATTTATGATTTTTCCTCTCACAACTTCTGTGAATTAGAGCTTGTGTGTTTTTAAAGCAAAAAAAAACCACAATGTGACACTTTGCAAGGCATGGTGGTAAATTGAAAGGCACTGCCCATGGCTATATCTTCCAACCCATTTCTTTCCTTCTGTCTACTTGAAACTTAGTTGGTCTGTGGCTTAACAGTGCCTTTAAAGTCTACCGTCTTTCCTAAGTAATGAAGCACTATGTTCTTCAGTTGCTTTTTCCTTAATGATATAATACTCAGTCTACATTTGTCTAGAGTGCATGTGGATCTCCACTAGGCCTCTTTCAGAGACCTAGAACTAAAACGTTTGAAATGTTACTTTCTATCCCCTGTTGTGGTAGAATTCATTCTGGCTTTGACTGCAGTGCCAAGAAGTGACTTGGCATTCTATAAAATATTACCTCTTCATTTATAACATCGTCATATGTGGTGGTCGCATGAAATTTATGAAGTTTAAAACTTGTAGAAAACTTGAAACAGAAATGGAATAACTTCCCATAAAGTGAATATTCGTCATGTATACTCATAGTACTCATGATGGTGAACGCTTCCCAGTTAGTGATGAATATAACACCTCTTGGTTCAAAAAGACATGTCTCTTTACAGGAAAAAAAAAAAAAAGCCTTTTATGGCACTCAGGCTCAAACCTGGTTTTGTTACATGTGCCAGTAACACATAAAATGTCATTAATATGAAATTTCAGACTAACCTTTGCTTTAAGTTCTTTCTCTCTTCCAGGATTGTGAGAGGCAGTTTTGTTGCTGTGTGTGGTCTCTTACCAAAGATTCTTGAAAGAAAAGTCAAACTGTTTTCCCTCGTGGTATAACAGTAAAGGATTAGTTTCTGTTCCTATTGATAGTCTTACTATGAGACGATGATTGTGTGATCATACGGTTACAGGTTTTAGTAGCTTATGGGAGAGGCCACCTCTTAAGTGAAAAGTTATAAGGTTCAGGAGAGTCAGTTCCACATCTGTCCTGTTCTCCTTGAGGTGGAGAGGAAGTAATGCTCTATTGAGCTTCCCTGTCCAGCTCTGTGTGTTTTTGCTTTTTGCCTTACTGGTGATGATACCTGGTTAACAGGCCCTGTTTTTAGGAATGTTCTATTTGCTGTAATCCATATTTTTTCCTTCCAGATAATCTTGTTACTTTGTCTTGTCTTCAATTGATTTCTTCTCTTACCCAGTACTTGGTGTTTCTTTAACCTACACCACACTGTTTAATATTCATAGTGTCCTTGTGTCCCAAGCATAAAATCCTGTAGAAAGTATACAGAAACAGCTTTAAAAAGTGCTGTGAAGTAACCACAAGAAGCATTGAGGCAAGTGTGCTTAAGTGTGTTACTGGACTTAAAAACAAGGCAGATTTCTACCTCGGTGTGTGTGGAATTAGCTGTTATGAAAGAGTCACAGATGAAAAAGTCCAGAGCAATTTTCTGTCAGTGTTTGGCTTAATCTTTAGCTTCAGGCAACAAAAATTAGTGATTATGATTGTTAAATAATGATGTTTGTCTTCTGTGTAGTGGATGATTTGGTTTAAGTGCATGTAGTTTTTGTGTAGTTGGTTTAGAAAGCAAGGGGTTTACATATTGAGGAGAAGACTCCTCTGCACTGAATGAGAACCTGTCCAGAACCTGTCCAGCTACCTTCAATTTCAAGCAATGAGTGAAATGTGTGTGCAACAGATAGGCTGCTCTTCGCTCTTCCCCCATCTGAACCTAGTCAGGTGGGACTTGCCCTGGGTGTTTTAGGTACACATTGGTGTTAGCACAGGTTAGTACTGAAGTCTTGTGTGGCGTTGAAACACTTAAGGAAAACTTGGTTTTTAAGTCCTTTTAACTCAACTTTGTTTCCCCCAAACGTGTGTGTGTGTTTGGGGGTTGGAGAGGTGGGGGATAACACTAGCTGTCAGGGACACTTCGCAATAATTGGGATACCTGATGGGTTGTTTGAGTTAGATGCTTCTAGCGCTTTGTCAGGTATGTTTGCCTGGATTTTCTAGAACTCAGCCATCTGTATGTGAACTGGCAAACCTCTTAATTATCTTCCCTTGACTGAAGAGCTAAGAGCAGCCCTTCAAAGCCCTTCAAGCGTCTATCCGATTGGAGTAAATCAGATTCAATTTCCAGCTATTTGTATTGCTTGTTGAGAGCCAAGTTTCATCTTCTCACGGGCATCTGTGAACAAAGTGATTTTTTTATTTTATTTTCTTTACTTTTAAGGGTTGATATCATGCAACTAAACCACTGATCGTCAGGCAAAATTTTACTCGTCTCTATTTAGAAAATCTTACCTCTTAACCATCTTCAGAGTTATAAGAAGGGTTTTGGAATGACAGACTTAAATACCTTTGAATTTTTATGATAACTTATTTCAGTTTTGTTTTGGGATAAAGAATCACAAAGGATGACACAGAATCATAAAGGGTAGAAGGGAGCTCTGGAGATCTGGTGTTTGACCATGCTCCAGTGTCTGATCGCCATTACAGTGAAAGCATTTTTTAATTGTAAAATAACAGAATAAGCCTACAGAAATTAGTTCAAGCTTCTCTTGAGGAAATTGCTAGATTTTTGTATAACTTGATGAATCTACTAATGTTAACAAAGCTTAACTAAGTCATTGTCTGGAAGAACTGAGAATGAATAGTATCCTTTGTAATGGTTGGATACTGTTTGCCTGCCGTGGGCTGGGTGTTTTTGTGTGAAAAATAAAATCACAAAAAGAAGAGTAAAAGTCTCTGCACGTCTTTTTCTATACTCTGGAAATAGTAGCTTGTTGGGAACATCTTACGGGAAATAGCTTTGTCTTAGATTTTTTTTTTCTAAGGTTGTGGTTTAAATAAGTTTTTTTTCCTAGAGCAAAACTAATAACACCAAACATCAGAATTCTGCCTTAGGAAATAAGACAAAAATAAAAGCTGTGCACAAAAAAGACATTTGTTTAAGTTGCTCTTTTTTGAGACACTGCAGGGAAGAGTTTCTGCAGACGGTGGGAGTGATGGAGGTGACAGGTATAGAAATTGCTCTGCTGTAATTAAACTAATAAGAGAAAAATCACTTCTAGGATAGAGAACTTAGCTATATCTAGGTAAGCCATAAATGAACACAAAAATGCTTCTGCATGTTTCTATATTGTTACAAAACTGAGATTGAAGGCTGGATTCTGCAGATCATGAAGTACAACCCCCTGCTCAGAGTCTAGAGCAGGCTACTCCAGGCTTTGCCTTGTTGTTTATTGATGTTTTTCTGTTAATAACGTTGTATATGTTAAGTTGTTTAAAGCTGCTTCTAGACAGTTTTTTTGTTTGTTACCTCCCCCAGAATAATGCACAGTGAAGACTGAGTGTAGCCTGGGAGAGGGGGTTGTCTTCTGAACTTTCAGTGCTGTGGTAGGCTAACTTGTACAAAATGCTAGCAGTGGTGGGGCTTTGTCTGTACTAAATAGTTGCAAACGTTGCATCTTTTTTGCTTTGCATATTTAATATGTGCTATTTAGGTACATGAGAATTAGATACAGCATGGATGCTTCTTCATTTTTCCTGGCAATTAATTTGCCACTTGTGCATTATGTAATAGTGTTTATCCTCTATACAAACTGTGCTTCCAAATAATCTCTTAAACTAACTTTTTGTGATTAGGCTATGTTGGATGCTTCCCATTGCTTTGTCTTTTGACTCTGGTTTTTGGACCTAATTTTTCCAGTTTTGTTAAAAAAGAATAGTCAAGAAGTATAGGATTTTAAACCTTTTCAAAGGTCTGTGCTAATGAAGGATCCATCTATTCAGTAGTATACTCTCACTGCGTTAAACTTTGGTACCTGTTTCTGTTCTTGTGCACTAAAAAACTTCTCAATGTAGTATGCTGCTGAAGGCAGATATGTTCTAGGCTTTGAAGTTTGAGATATCTCCAGCTAAAGTCTCAAGGGTTTAAGTGCTCATATACAATAGTATTAGAAATGGGCTGTGGTTCTGATTAAGAGCTAATTACAATGCTTTATAGTCATATGTGATCTGAATTATGTAATTCAGATAAGTAAAAATTCAGATATGTAAAGAACCTGATAATGTTGTGTTTTTATTCTAATTGTATTTGACTGATATCCAGTTATTTGTGGCAGTTGGCTTGAATATAGAACAAAATTACCTTTTAAACCCCTTGTTACTGTGAGGTTCCACTTAGTGTGTAACATCTGTAGAAATGTTCTGCTCCAAAGATCTCTTGTCTCAAATTCTGATATTAAGTATGTTTGAAATGCGCTCATTTTCATATACCATTACAGACTTTTGCTATATTTTCCATATTCAACTAAAAATTTGAGGAGTGAATGATGGATTTCTGATACTTCAATGGTGGATTTCTGATATTTTAACTTGGAAGGTCCTGCGCTTCCTCTTATCTCTAATGGTTCATAACAAAATCCTGAACATATTTCACATAGCTATTTAAATCCTTCATTAAAATGACTGTAGCCTTTTCTGCGTTGAACTTAGGGCAGCCCATGGGAGCAGAGGAAGCTAAAGCCCCCAGGCTTATTGGCAAAATAAGATGTAAGCCTTTGAAACTTCATTGAGGCAGATAATTGTTCTTCAATATAAGCAATTTTTTGCTCAGTGTGCCCGTAGAAGTTCTTAACACCTTTAGTTATCTGTTGTGTAGCATAGCAGTACTAACATTCATTCTTCTTCGTCTGTTTTATCAGGACAGAGCTTGGGTTATGGTTTTGTGAACTACGTTGATCCCAAGGATGCCGAAAAAGCTATCAACACTCTGAATGGATTGAGACTTCAAACTAAAACAATAAAAGTATGTAGTGTTCTTTATGGTTTAAAGAAACAGAAGTGTTTTGACTTCTTGTTAAGATGCATGATGCATTTTTCCTTTCCAAGTACAACGTAAGCATTCTGCTAATGCTAATAAACTTGCCTAGGACTTCACCATGGAGCAGATGATTAGTCCTGTAGTCCACCTAGAGATTATAATTGAATATACAAAATTGGTATGTATGATAATTGTCAATATTTTATATTTGAGCTTAAATTAGGTGATATCTCAATTAGGTGACATCAGATCATATGCTTTGCATGCTTAAGTAATAAATGCAGTATTGCATATAGTCTGAAGATTGCACTGTATGCTTCCTACTTTTTTTTTTTTTCAAAGAAGACAGTATAATTTGCTTATTAAACAAGACAGTTGCAGCCTAAAGGAGTATTCTCTCACATCCTTAAAATGAAATGCTGAGATAACTGGTTTGTTTATAAAGGTCTGTGAATTACTGGATTTCAAGGTTGTTCCATATTTATATGCCTCGTTTTTCTCCAATGTTAGGGTTTCCTGCTTTTTCACTTTGTTATAACAACTGCACCTCTTGTTAACTAAATTCAATTCCCTCAATTTCTAGAGAAAGGAATCTTGAAACTTCTTACCAACTGTGTTTTTGTTCACTCCAACCACATTTAATCACGTTTTATTCTTTCTTATAAAATGGCTTTAAATGTCTCCAAAGGTGGGGTTGTGGTGATGGGGAAATGACACTGTAATTAGCACGTTATTCATGTGTACTAAAGTTTCACATTAATACCTTGGAAATGTAGCATTAAGCAATTACTCCATTATCAGAAGAGTCAGGATATCGATTTGAGCAATTGTTGGACTCTGAAATCTTAGGAAAGGAGATGAAATAAAATTGTCAGGGAATGGGGGCCTTTGAATGTGTTTCACAGGTGTTCGTGCCTGGAGGCAGCACAGGGGCCAGCCAGCCTATTCTTTCTCATTAAACAGCAGGGTTTGCTAGCTGATCACTTGGACAGTGACTGCCCTCTAACTAGGGTCATATTTGAGCTGTAAGATAAAGCTCACCTTGTAAAGGCTTTGGAGTTAAAAAGCAATGCTGAGCAACTTTAAAAAAAAAAATAGCAGGCAAATATAAGATGGCATGAATTCAGGTAGATTGCCCGAACTGTTCTGGATTCATGAGGTTTATTGAATGCATGATGCTATTTGTAACTTATATATGCTGCAGTTAATAAACATTGAGTCATGGAAAGACTTGGATAGATGCTTTGCAGAAAGTTACCTACTTGCTTTTAGTAGGCTTGCCTGAAGGCAGCCTCTCCCATGTTCTACTTGGTGAGGGAATATGGAAGAAAGCCATTTAGTACGCCCAAAGCTTGTGCAGCTTATAAAGCAGTCTTCTGGGGGAAAGGGGCATAGATTAGTTCTCCAGTAATGTTACAGGTATGTTGTATCTTAGGTATATCTTAGACTGCAAAACTAAGAAATGCATCTGCTCAGGATGACAAGTTCTGTGGACTATGTAAATATTCAAAGGAAAAGGATGGTGAATACAGAGAATCAATCCAGGCTTCCCAAATCAAATAGATTCCTTACAGGGGGTTCAGGTGACTTGAATTTGTTTCCAGCATATGACTTCTTGGTCATCTTTCAGTTTACAGAATAACAGGTTGTTAGGGATTGAAAGGGACCTTGAAAGATCTAGTCCAGTCCCCTGGCTGGAGCAGGAACACCTAGATCAGGTCACACAGGAATGCATCCAGGCGGGTTTTGAATGTCTCCAGAGAAGGAGACTCTACAACACCCCTGGGCAGCCTGTTCCAGTTTCACCACGAAAAAGTTGTCTTACATTTAAGCAGAACCTCCAATGTTCTAGCTTGCACCCATTGCCCCTGAGTGATTAATGTAAACATCACCAAATTTCTGCAAATAGAAATGTATTGTTTAAGAAAAAAAGTCTGGGGGGGAAAAAGTGAAAATAGATTGAGGTGGGGGGTGACACTGCTTTTCCTTTCTTGCCTTCTTCAAGTGCTAAGGTAAAGCAAACAAAATAGTTTTCATCTCTTTATTTAGAAGAAAGTATCTCTGAATGTTGCTTTTTCTCATGTTACATGGCAAATAATGACTCTAGCTACCCATGTTTGGCTCTGTTCAATTTCAGCAGCATCTTTCAATGTTAGTGTACATCACCTGGGGAAAGGCTGCTTTATTCCCTTATCCCTTCTTGGGGGTAAGCCATATTTCAGGCCGACTTTTCATGACTGGATTCTCCCTATGTACTGTTTAAAGAGTCTGTCTTTACCTCCTTCCACACTGCAGGAGAAGAAGAGGCTAGGAGGATTCCTCATGTGTTTCAAGACTTGAGGTGTTATTTCTGAGCTCTCAAGACCAGGACCTTTGCGGAGCCTTCGTAAGGGTTCAGGGACCACAGTGTTCCAATTTGTCTGTAGTTGATACCTCCATGTAGTGGCTGAAGTGGGAGCATTCCTGCTCAAATCCTGATCCCAGTCTGTGGCATTCTGTATTGGGTGCATGACAGGTACATCTGACCTGCTGCTTCTTTTCTACAGTCACTGGTTACATTCCTTCATCCCTAAAAGGGCTGCCACCTACTGTTCTTTTGAAGTAAAATGTACTCAAACCACAAATTTGCAGATTGCTGGCTTACCTTTTTTCTGTGTGGGTAGCAACATTGAAACCAATTACTTGCTACCTTTTTAGAGGGAGGGCTGTCCTTTGGAAAGCTTCATGAAATACTTTTAAGTTGGTATATTTATATTGCAGGTAGCCTGTGAATTTTGGGCTTCGCTGAATTATGCAACTTCAGTGTAAAAGCAAGCTGTATCGGAGAGGTGAAAGACTTGCTATGGCTCTTTTTTTTTTTTTCAGAAGAAGCTGCTGCTGGAAAGTACTTTTTCATTGGCTCTTAAATAGAACAGAGAACATGGATTTCTGTGCCTTGAGCGATCTTTCTGCTTACCCATTTGCTTGTTCATTGATTTGGTTTTTGTTTTTTTCATTTGTTTTGTCACAAAAAGATCTCTTCTTCCCAAGTCTGAAAAACTCTGAGGAGCAAACAGCATGCAAGTGTCATCATTCCTTTTGCAAAGGAATAAGAAAATTCAGTGCACGTTTTATTCAGTTTCTGCTTGGGAGGAGGGAGATCATCAGTGACTTTTCCTGCCCTCATTCCTGGGAAAGCTCCATCAAAAAGACTCAGATGAATTTATTGCGAGGTTATCTGTGTGGCCATACCTTTTGGTGTGTTGTAAATGCCTTCAGTGCTAATAAGTCTAAAATGGAATGGAAAGGGCAAACAAATATCCTGTCCTTGAACTGGTACAGAGCTGTGTAAGATCCTGAATAAGAGGCAGCTTTTAATGTCAATTGGGGCTACCAGGAGGACACAGGGAAAGCTCAGCCTGGCTGTTGTCTGTGCATGCTGGGGTGTATGAGTGATGGATGTGGTCTTTGGTGGTTCAGAGCTCACAAGGGACGCAGCCAACAGAGTAACATCATGTTTGTTTCCCCCTCACAAGGTGAAGTAGGGCCGAGGAACTTCCCTCTGTCCATCCTGCAGCTCTCCAGCATGAGAGGGCCTGAAGCAGCAGAGCCTTTCTGTACAGGAGCTGACAGCTGTCTTAGTTCTCAGTGCTGGTGATATGTGTATAGGCACGTATGGAAATCTGCAGTGTAGAGGGGAAAAATGGTTTGGCCTAGCTACAGGCCTAGCTGTTATCCTTTTTTATAAGATAGCATTGATTATCTGTCTTCTATCTAGCTAGTGCTTCTTAAAAATCAAATTTAGTAGAGCTTCTTCCTCTTTCTTTTTTTTTTTTTTTAGTTTTCTTGACTATTAGAGTATTTACATGGGTAATTATCACCTGTCAGGAGAATACAGATTTAAGAAATATTTTATCTAAAGTATTAAATCTGTAGGTTTTCCTCCCACTCCTTCATAGCTTTGCATATGTTTAAAAAAAACTGCCTTCACATGTAATATAATTCCAACAGGAAGCTGTAAGAAAGTTTGACAAATTATTTGGCTACATGCACAAGTCCTACTTTGTCATCATTATCACCTAGTTAACTGCCCTACTGTAGAAAGCTGTGTAATTAAAAACAGCTAGTTATGAATTTAACAGGAGTGAATACTGAGCTATTTGCTTTACACATGCCCAAAAAAGTGCAGTTCAGCAAGGGGATACTTGAAGCATGTCATGCCACAATTTTGATAATGTCCTCTGAGTCAGCATGTCCTTAAAACTTGGCTTTATGATGTGCAATTTCACTTGGTGCCGTGAACCATTACTTAGATTTACAGTAATTTTAAGGAAATTGTCCTCAATTGTAGCAGCTTAAGGTCTTCACCCTTGTGAACTTGTACCTCTGATAGTATTCTTGAAAACACTTCACAGGATATAATAAAATGCAGAATAAAGAAGCATACTAGTTTGATTTCTATATTGGTGCAGCAGAAAAAGATTGTCTTCTCTAACATTGATATTTTTAGAAGAAAACTTTGGTAGCATCATTTTCTATATTAATGTTTTCATTGATCTCCCTGGAGAGCGATGAAATATATATGAACTGAGTAAAAAGTCCATTAAAATACCGGGGGGCAAGAGCTGTGAAGGTGAGAGAAACCCTCTTTACCTCCTCGATTTTGTTCTTACAGCACTAAAGGACATTGATCTAGTGAGTGGCAAAAGGGGATCCTGTTTGAAGGTTTAATTAAAGCTAGTGAATTTTATTGATGCTATCAATCAGCAGAGATTCAGAGAAGGGGCATGGTGCCAGACCATTTAGTGGTCTTGACAGGGTAATTAAATACCTCAGGACTGTATTCTCAAGGTAAAATTGAAGTGCTCTAGCAGATCTGTAGCAGCAGAACAATGTGTCTTGGAACAAAGGTAAAGGTGTTTTTTTACCTTAAGTTTCTGCAGGAGTTATATAAATGATAATTATACAACCTTTTATCTATGTTACAGTTAAAGCTTTGACAGCAT